TGATTGAGAGGGCTAAACTTGTACATTTTGTGAATAATTACTTGCATTGTTTTGAGAGAGGGGAAGATGTTGAATTGCTTCATAATGATGGATGGATAAAATCAAAGGGGGAATTGAGATGTATTTATGCTTTCTATTTGGGTATTTTGACATTGAGTTCACAACTGTTGGGTGAATTGGACTATGTGGATTATATTTTGAGAAGGGCAGAATGTGAAATTGCAGCACTTTCTGTGGATCATATCACACAGTTTTATTGGGGTGCCTCTTGTCACTTGATGTTTATGACTTGTGTCGCAGAAGGAAATCAAATCAAAGCAAGCTATTATCATACCCTTATTAATTTTTATTTGGATAACGAAAAAACCTTGAGAAATAGATTTTATGCTAGTTTAGTCCATCACAAGACTCTAGTTTCGGCCAGATTTATGAAAGAATTGAATAATATGGAAAATCTGTTGGATAACATGTACCAACTGTTTTTCTACTCTGTAAATAGAAAACTCGATGAATTCTTACTGCCAGGTACTTGGGACTACATGAGAAATACCAAAATTACTCCTCAAAACTATGTACTCTTCAAACAAGTTTCTCACTTTATATTCAAGGCCCTCATGAAACACAAATCAGAAGCTATGAAAGCTCTAACTGACTGCCACAGCGATGGATACTTTAAACATCAGAGATTGTTTACAACAATTTTATCAGAAGGGTATGCATTTTTATTCTTGAAACAGATTCAAGAAGTGAGCTATTCAATGATGGAAGAAAGTGCACTCAGAATAACCTTATTGACTGAAAATGAATTGTTTCCGTAAGTATCCAAAATCATCATATTTATAACCATTTTGAAAATTAATTAGATATTGCTTATTTGCAGTTCTTTCACCTGTTGTGGAAGCTTGTGCATTTCACTTGAATGTTTGTAAAATGGTGGAAAAAGGATTGAAACCTAGAAAAGCCAGCATTCTTACTTCCTCAGGACAAACCATCACATTTGACAGTTTCTCAATTCTGGAGAAGGACTTTAGAGCAATCAGCTTGATGAGTAAACGATATAGACGAGTTCAAAATATGCACAAGGATCTCATTGATGAAATGACACAAGTTCTCAATAGAAATATTTCTCCACTCAGTTTACTGAAAGATAATTTATCAATCATCAGTTCCTCTGGTACACCAAACGATGACATTCCATTGCAAAATGATGAAGTACTAATGAGTATTCTGAAACAACTCACCCAAGAGGAAGAAATGACTCCTAGCTCCTCACTAAATGAAGTAACTGAAGAGGCACTAACTCCT